TGTAGCAGGTCTTGTGCATCTTCCCCATGAAGAGCTCCAGGCCGATGATGGCGTAGATGATGATGACGAACAGCACCAGCAGCGCGATGTGCAGCAGGGGCACCATGGCTTTGATGATGGAGTTCAGGACCACCTGCAGGCCTGCGGCGACACAGCCGGGTGAGCCGCCGCCCCCACACCGCCGCGGCCGGGCGTCTCGCGCCGCAGCTCCAGGGAAGGGAACGGAGGCTCCGGGCTGCCCAGCCAGAGGGACACACCGGGGATTGAACCCGGGTTGGCTGCTGCCAGGCTCCCTCGGGGCCGTGTCCCAGCAGGACTGGCAGCTGCTGTGCTTCCAAGGGGAGGCACGGGCTCTCCAACTCCTGACGCCCCACGTCGGAGGCCACCCAGCCTCCTCCTGGAGCCGCAGCAGCCACGCAGACTGGAGGCGGGGTGGTGGGGCTTCCCGGTCACTCAGAGAGGGGTCTCTGGAGCCCGAGGCTGGCTGTCTGCTAGAAAACATGGGCAGCCTGGTTTGGAGGGACCCAGAGGGTGGGGCTGGCTTTACCGAAACCGACTCACTGCTGGACACCTCTGGGTGACCACCTGCCTGGCGACAGCCCCCATTCACACACCCCACGGGAGGCGCTCGTGTCTGAGGGGCACTTGGTTGGGGAGATGAAACAGGAGATGGACGGCCGTGGTGCTGGCTGATCGCGCGGAACTGTGCCCTTAAGAACGGTTAAACCGGGGACGTCTGGTTTGCCTGTGTCACCACAGTAAACTTTTTTAAGTACGCAGATCCCTTCAGGAAAAACAGAGCAAATCCAGCCCGTCCTTTAGCAGCAGGTTTGTCAGCACACCCTGGAGGTCTGCAGGTTATTCTGTTGTTCATGGAGAGAAGGACCCCAGACTTGTAAGCTGGACCGTAAATAACACACCAGGATGCTCCTCGTTTAAAGGAGATGTTGCATGTATTCATTTGCAAGTGGTGGAGAGGTGGTTCCCTGCAAGCCCCCTGAAAGCCTCAGTCAACAGGGGTGCACTGTCCCCACGTCCCAGGAGAGAAGTGGGGAAGGGCCGGCCCCCTCCTCACACCCAGGCAGGCTGATGTCCTGCAGGCCACTCTGACCCACGCTTGGCAGGACACCCAGCTCCGAATCCCACGCCGTGGGCACTTTTAGTGTCTCTGACTCACCCACCGGCTGTGGACACCCTTCCACCTCCCCCTGCCCCAGGCGCTCCACCTGGTGCTCACCCCCCACCCCCTGCTCGGGGTGAGCGAAGGCTGGGCACCCCCTCCCCAGACCCCGGGGCTCCGTGATCAGCGGGGTGGTCGGTGTCCACAGTCCCGTTAGGGGAATTCTCCCCAGCTGTCAGGCCAAGAGAAAGGCTAGAATAACCTTACCTGTGAGTTAATGAGAGCGCTTTGCAGCCTCCCATTATTGTAAGATGCTTTCAGATTCAAATGACTCCATTAACTAGCAAGTTGTACACACACTGTGTTCAAGTGTGTGGAGCCAGGGGGAAGGGTGACAACTGAGCTGCAAAGCAACTTTTGGGGGTGTCTGCTGGGGGCAAGCACCCCAAGTGCTGCTCACAGGAGGGGACAGGGAGCCCGAATCCAGGTGGCCAGACAGGAGGGGCTACGCTCTCAGGCCTCAGTGCCACAGCCTCAGCTGGACTGGGGTGGAGGTGAGGAGGACAGGATGCAGAACTCCCTCTGTGCTGCGGCCAGAGGGACGCTCTCAGGGAGAGCTGGGGTGGGGGTGGGGGTTTCCCCTGCCCTACAAGGCCGCTGTAGCGTCCACACCACCCCCTCCTGCCCACTTCCAAACCCAGCGTTTCTTTTAGACTCAAATATGCCATCCTTCTTCCCACCACAGGGCCATCGTGCGTGCTGTTCCCTTAACCTGGAACGCTTTTCCATAATTCCCTCCTTCCTCTGTCAGCCCCAGCATCTCTCTGCTGGGCAGCCTTCCCCATGTTCCCAGACCAGAGAAGTCTTCCTTACATGTCTTCTTGGAACCACTTCCCCTCCTTTGGAGCTGAGTCTCAGTTTGGAATTACACACGCATTAGTGGGTTTGAAACATGTATATCCATCTCATGTCCGGCTGCATCTTGCGGAAACAGACTGTGGGCTCTTCTGGCTTTTATCTCCGAGGCCTCGCTCAATGCTGAGCATGCGCCGGCATGAAGTCAGCATGAAGTCAGCTCACGGTCTCAGTGCGGCAGGTCTGCTGACGGACAGGTGAGTGCCCGGGGCCTGCAGGCCAGGTGGAGATGACCAGCGGGGCTGCAGAGAGGCCCAGAGGAGGTCGAGGCCGCCTGTGGCTCCTTCCACCGGTCGGGGAGCTGTCAGAATCCCCAGGCGATGCTCCGCTCCCTCCATCCCTGTCCGGCGGCCGCACCTCCCACTGGAGTGCCAGGACCCGACCCTGGTTCTCCAGGCTCCTCCCTCCTACTCCTCACCAGGTCCTGCCAGCTCGACTTTGAAGTATTCTAGACAAGTATGAACAGCTGTTACTGTATCGATAACACACACGCATCGTGCAGGAAAAGGGAAATACTTACTACAGAGGAATTAGACGCCAGGGCGCAGGAAGAACTGTCCATCACCCCACCACGCAGAGAGAACCACTGTTAGCCTTTCGGGGTGTATTTTGGACATTTTGGTCCCTGGTTGGTCAGCAGGTCTCCCGCCATGAGTCCTGCCGGTCTTCACACTGTGGCTGGAATGCTCTCCCCAAAGCACAGGTCGGAATGTGTTCCCCCCCCTTGTGGGGCCAGGAAGTGTCCAGGCAGAGCCGGGTTCAACACAATCAGGACCCGTCCAAGAAGCAGACCTGCGTGGAGCGGGTGCTCGGCAGGCAGGAGGCGCCTTCTTCAGAGGATTCCAGCATCAGCTGAACAAGCTCTCGGGGGAGGTGCCTCGGGGGGACTCAGCCCACAGGTGCAGCACTGATCAGGCCCCCAGCCCCAGCCCCCAGCCCCCATCAACGCGTTGTGAGCACTAAGGGGGGGTCAGTGAATCACCCCGTTTCCCCGGGCACAGCCTGCTGCAGTGGGAGCTGTCATTAACTGTATTTACGGAGGAGAAGAGCGGGTTCTGGAGAGGTTAAGTGGCCTGCCTGTGGTTTCACAGCTGGTGAGTGGTGGCAGGGGATTCGGTGCCAGGTGGCCCGGCTCCAGGTCCTGGGCCGCAGGACTGAGCTAAATGCTTTCCATGCGCCCTGGACCGCGGTGCTCAGCCCCCATGATCTGTGTCTGTGAAGCGGAGACACATGTTCACAGCATCTGCCAGGAAGGTGGGGTTTCATCCCTGCTTCCGGGGGGCCCAGCTGTTTCGGAGGCTGGTCCAGGAGAGGCTTCTACCTGCCACCCTCACAGCCAGCCCGGGCTGGGGTCTGAAGGCGCCGGGCCAGAGCCCCTCTCTGGGGCCCATCGTGCATAACTGGCTCTCAGGGCCCGGGCCCCAGCAGCAACTCCTCGGAACTGTCCCTGAAACAGCTCCCCCACTCCAGTTCCAGTTTGGAAAGCGCAGCGACATGTCTCCCCTCGAGTGCCCTCCTGAGACAGGCCGGGCCAGGGTGGATGAGCAGGTCCCAGGGGAGGTGGCTGCCATCAGGTGCCCGTGGACACACGACTTCCAGACTCACCTACGATGAGCTGCACTTCAATAAAATGAAAAAAGAACTGTCACGTCAGTTCTGAACAATATATGTGCACTAATAGAGGAAAAAAATCCCTAAACCATTTGCCTTTGCAACACAGCATCTTTTTCAGCACGACGCCAGGCAGACAGCAAGAACCTAATAAAGACGCCTGCTTGCTGAATGATGATTTGGCAAAAGGGTTCTTGCTTGAGCCAACAACTATCCCACACTCAGCCCCCTTTTAAAAGCTGGACCCTCTGTCACTAAGCTATGGCGGGCCTCGTCTGCACCTCTGTCGGTCTGGGGACTACTACGACAACAAAAAGATGCAGTCCCTGCCCAGGAGGGGCTTTGCGCTCGACAGACAGACAGATGTGGAGACAGCTACTGCAGAAGCGGGTGGTAATGGTTCTATGAACTGTGGCCGAAGAGCCATGGAAGCACAGGAGGGAGAGGCTGCCTTGGCCGTGGGAGCACGACAGTGCTTCCCAGAGGAGAGGACTCGTGCGCCAAGTCGGGGGCAGAGCTCCTTCTGCCCCTTTTCCAATTTGTCCTTTACACTCCATGTGGCTCTCTCTAAACGCTCTCTCTCAGGAAATTAACTCACTTCCCAAGCTCCTAAAGGCTCAAGAGTCACCCCATTGGGTGAGTCCAAATTTGCAACTACACTTTCTTTGCCCTCTCTTTTGAGTTCAGGTCATGTTAACCCATAAACCTACTAGGTACTTCTACTGGGCTGGCCTACCATCTCCTCACACTCAAGAAATCCAAACTGAACTCATCATCTCCTTCCTAAAACCAGTCCCCAGAAGGCCCCAGACTTGGCAGTCACCTGGCCTACTTCTTCACCAAATGCAGACAATTCTTTATCCATAGCATCTGTCATCCCTGCTCTTCGCACTGCAGCCACCATGGTCCTTACTGTCTCCACCTGGATTGGTGGCCCGTGACTCACTCACCCCAAGAAGGCCCTGCTCACAAACCTGCAGTGGTTCCACAATAAACAGAAGACTCCAAACCCTTCTGCATGAGCTGAACACAGTAGGTACTCAAAATGTATTTACAGAAAGAATGAAAACAGGTTACAAATAGCAGAACCAT